TACACTTCTTTATTAAACAACTCAAAAACACCAAAGATATCACAAAATCATACTTAAATAAGTAGCAATTATTTCTTACATGGCTTACAGATAAGCTATTTAATCTCCAAATACAATGTCTCATTAAATTTAGTCAGGAATTTTATAAACCCATTTATAATTTTCTGATTAGATATGACCCAATTCCACGAATTCACCAACCAAATAATGTAGACACTCTTCCACCAGACAACCATGCATATGAAATTCTGGATAAAACAATGCTATAGATTCAAAAGCTTCAGCATTGTCTAGAAAATATTCATGAATTATTCGGTAATGAATTAGCTAATGCTGAACATGAATTGAATTTAAAAATTTTTGTATATCATTATGTACTAGAATAGAAGATGCATTAAATAGATTCATCAAATAGATGGAGACTTGGATTCATTTATCTCTATGTATTTGCCATTTAGATAGTGTAAATGGTCCTGCGTTTGCTCATACTTTTTTGACCATATTTTTTAATAAAAGTTTTTTAAAAATTCCTACTTGCGAAGAAATCTCTTATGTCAAGCTTTTGAAAGAAGACCTGTCTAATGGACGTTCAGCTACATTAGAACTATTAGAAGCACTTGCATAGTGCGATTTTTTTGAAGAATTTGAAGCATTTGCTAATTCTGATATAGCAGAACCAGCAAAGTTTCCTCTTATATACGAATTCATTAAATTTCATATATGGAATATTGCAGTATATTAACAACAAATAAAAGGGTTGTTCAATCGCTATGACATGAAAGTTCACCCAAATATGAATGCTCAATTACAGGAATCACGTATTCAACTCTCAGGCCTAGATGGTGGATTACAGGGAATTTCTCAAACCATATTACGAGATGTTCGGCAAAATACTAAGGATTCTGAAATTACCAAGCAATTAGAAAAGAATATAGTTTCTAAGGAAGAAAAGACTTATGAAATTCTTAGCAGCTTTCTCTCCTGGTGGTGTAACAAAAAACCAAACTTAAGTCATACTATACAATAAATAGATTTTTTAATTTAACATTAGATTCTTGAAATCTTTATTGTTATCTTGTACAACAAATAAAATCAGTCATATGATTTTATTTAGTAAATTAAATTCAGTAATTCAACTTCAAATTAAAGATGTTCATAATAAGTAAAATAGAATTCTAACATTGTTACGATGTAAAGACATCTTTTAATAAGCATTTTGCGTTTACAGAATAAAAAAATATTAGATATTACAGGAGGAATTAAAAGCGAAAGAAAGTGATTTTCCTATGGTCTTTAATATTGCATGCAGATCTTAAAAACATTTTCTATAAAAAAATCAGATTAATGATCATTACTATGCCACCTGCACTATGTTTGTAATTAAACTTGCATGAAACACCCTAACTACCTAGGCTGTTAAAAGTTTGATCCTTTTGGTCCTGATTCCAGAAATAGGGACTTCGATTAGGACTCGATCCTTGAGTCGAGTCCGTGCATATAATTGATCTTGATATAAATTAACCAATTACATTCATGCCTTTCTAGAACAAAGACATGCATATGGGCAGATTTTGGAAATTGGTGATATTTTCGAATATGATCTTTAAAATTTGTACCAATCAGATTAGCCAAATTTGTGATTATTACGAATTTGTCTTAAATTGATTGGTTGCTTTATTTAGTAATAATAGTCACAATACTGTATTACAGTATTTACTTATACGAAGCCCCTGCATTTTTTTCTTTCTAAACCAATTTTTTGGGATCTCAAACTTTTACTAGTAGCAATGTTAAAGTTTGTTTTTTAGTATCCCTTTTACCAATTTGCAGGCAAATTTGCCTGCAAATTTTTGATCAAAATTGTTTTTACTAGTGCAACTTGCAAAAATCATAATCTAGGCCTATGTGTAATATTATTGTTAGCAAAACTACTCACAAAGAGCTTTTAGCCAATACCACTTTTAACTATTTTTAATAGCAAACTGCCTTTATTTTCCTTTTAGTTTAGTGAAATAACCTATATGCTTGTGTTACCTAGTTAAATCACAAGCCATTACAGGATGTAATGTTTATACTTATCGGTTATTAGATCTACAACCTTAAGTGCAAAATTGCAAACTTTTAAAAAAATTAAAGAAGTTTAACTATAACTTCTTCTCTAATCAGTTTGAGTTAATAGTTCCAAATTATGATGGAATAAATCCACTATCTTAACATTAATAAAATAATTAAATTAAAGATTGTATTGATGGTATTAGTAATTAGCATTTGGTATATTGAGTTAAATATGCTAAAAAATTAAACTTTAAACTTTATGGTTGAATTTTAACTTTAAAGTTTGAGATAAGATTTTCTATAAATATATTATGGTGAAGTTTACCTCCGGTAAACGTAAGATAAATTCTAAACAATTAATCGTATGTAAGCGAAAAAAAATAAGGAATTAATATTTCAGATCAAATTAAACAAAATTACAAAACGTGATTGTAACACTATGTATAATCATGAACAAGAAATAAACGATAGCGACTCTGAATTTAGTAAAAATGAGCTTGAAGTGTATTTTTTACAAAACCATCATAATGAACATTTGATAGATGGCTTTCTAGTAAATTCCGAATATCCAGCTCAAGAAAGCGATGAGGAATCAGATCCTCAAAATAATTTATCTGTGATACTAGCAGTTAATACTGTTAAAAATCGGAGGCAAAGCAGAGGACGACCACACGGATCAAGAGCTAATCGTGGTGGTAGATCTAGTCAACAAATTAGTCTACCAAACCCACCAGAGTTTATTTTTTTATAGCACAGACTTCCTTTTCGTGAAAGATGGTATCCAATTCTTTCTGGCCATTTACAGCAGCTTGGAATAGTAACCCCTTTAATGTTATTTTATGAATTTTTTTAATTGAATCACTTAGACAAATAGTAAAATCAACAAATAAATACAGTGCTATTCAAAATTCAAAAGGTAAAGAAATAATTGCTACTTATTTAAGTATGATTTTGTGATATCTTTGGTGTTTTTGAGTTGTTTAATAAAGAAGTGTA